TAGGCTTTAGCTTAATCTTATGGTCCACCTCCCGCTTGGGTGGAGGTTCTTAGGCAACTCAGCTAGCATGACATCTTTGAATTCTTCCAATATGCTCTTCATTTCCTTAGGCAACTCTTCTCTTGTTGTTTGGGCCTCTTCACCCAACATAGCTGCTAGATAGGTCTCCTCGCCCTTCTTCAAGCCTTTCACTAGTTGTAAGGCTGATAGCATTCTTGGGCTAGTGCTTGAGCCACGAGTAGTAGGGACCATGCATGGGGCGCTCTCCTCCATGATGCATATTGAGTTGGCGTATAGCATAGGCACAACCTTCACTTTATCAAGGAAGTCCAAGCCAAAAACAACCTTGAAGTCATCCATAGGCACTACCGACATGTCGGCTTTGCCTTTCCATGATCCAACTTGCAAGTCAACTCCTTAAGCTACTTTAGCTATGGCCTTGGCCTGTGAGTTAACGACCTTAAGCCAACCGTTCTCCTTAGTAACCTTCAGGCCAAGTCGCTTTGCCTCCTCTACTGAGACAAAGTTGTGTGAGGCACTAGTGTCCACCATGGCATGAGCGATTTTGCCATTGATAGTTGTTTCCACATACATGAGGCCAACCTTACTAGGCTTTGGGGCTATTTCAACCTTTTTCATGGCATTGAGGAGTTGCATCAAGCCCATTGATGCCTCTTCCCCTTGCTTTTCCTCCTTGGTTGTAAGAAAGTTTAAGACCTGCTTCTTGGGGCAATCCCTGATCATGTGTGCTCCATCACATAGGAAGCACTTGAGTGGCTTCTTCTCTTGGTCTTTGACTTTATCTTTCCAACTGCCACCCTTTCCATCCTTCTAGACTTGAAAGGACTGGGGCTTAGACAATCTTTCTTTGGCATGGGCCTTTTCTCCCCCACCTTTACCTTAACCTGGCTTGGTGGGTTGGCCTTTGGCCTCCTTCTTGTACTCAGACAGCTACTCAACAACAGCCATGGCACTAGCCAAGTCTTGAATGCCACGGAGCCTTAACTCTTTTTCCACCCATGGCTAAAGGCCTTCCATAAAGTGGAACAATAAGCATTGCCTATCATGTCAGGTTCCTTTAGCATAAGCGTGGAGAATACCTTCACGTAGTCCCTTAGTATGCTTGAGGTGTCTAAGGTTCTTTTTAGCAAGGTACTCAACATTCTCCAGAAGGAATTGTTTCTTGATTTCCCTCTTAAAGTCCTCCCAAGTATTCATGGTGCATGTGCCACGTTTGACATCTATGCACCGCCTACGCCACCACAGCATGATAGTGTCTAGTAAGTACATAGTTGTAGTATGTACCTTTGATCTCTCGTCCTCAAGGCCAACTGCCTCTAAGTATTGCTCCATCTACCATAGGAAGTTGTCCAGTTCGCGTGCATCTCACACTCCCTTGAATGGCTTAAGTTCAGGGGTCTTCACCTTTACCACCTCACGAGCTGGGGCGGATTGTCTGCCATTGACCATAGCCCTCTTCTATAAGGCGAGATCTACTTGCATCTCGATCTTGGTTTAATGCTTGACAATAGTTTGTTGCAAGGCCTCCATTTGGCCTTGATACTCTTTGCACAATGCCTTAATGGCCCTAGTAATTGTGGCATCCATGACCTCCTCGAACCTGGATAGCTCTTTATCAAAGAAGTCTAGGCCGCCATTAAACTTCTCGATCTCCTTTTGGGCTTCACCAAGAGTCATCTCCACCTTGGTTAGCCGGTGGTCCAGGCTAGCAACCTTGTCCAAGGATGCCTCTCGGCTCTTGTTACCATGCTTACTCTTCTTGCTTGGCTCCGCCTTAGTCACATCAATCCTTATGGCATCCTCCACTTCTAAGGCAATGCCATTTTCATCCTTAACCATGCGGCTAGTGTTGACGAGGCTCTGATACCACTTGTCACGGACCTAGACTCCTCTAGCGTCTTGTGCGGCACTTGAGTAGTAGTATGTCGCTCCACAAGTCAGCCTTCCCCACTTGGAGCACTCTCTTGGTTCTTAAGACCAAGTAGCTCACCAATTCGTCCTTCACACTAAAGCACAATGCACACAAGGAAAGAAAGATAGAAAACTCAAAGGAATTCCTTGTATTGCTCAAGAGAGGAATACAACACTTGATTGCTTGACGAATGCAAATGAGGGAGGGGGTCCCCTTTTATAAGCACTTCCACCTCCTTAAAGGATTTCTCTAGAGCATGAATATTTTAGACTTGCTTCTAGACTCTTCATTTTTCTAGACTTGTCTTAGTTCTGTCTAAAAATATGTACAAGATTCAAAGGTGCTAATGAGGCTTTAGAATACTTCTATAATTTTCTTGAATTCTATTGAAATTTCTTGGAGTTTTTGAAAACTTATAGAGTGTTTTTAAAACCTTTTTTGTCAACCATCTTCAAAGTAGGATCGAATGACATAGCTTCAATCTTGGCACCTCGCTTCAAATCTTACTTCACCGGGCTGAGTGATCGGTTTGGGGGGGAACGGGCTACCCCTTGTTGGTTGTTGACTTGTGTAGCCCATTTTGTATTTATTCTTCTTAAATTTATTTTTTATTTAAACAAAGGAATAAATGAAGCAGATGATTGAAATTGAAGCGTTTAACCTGTGACTCTGTGAGTGACTGACTCAGTGATCAAAACGGTTTTACGGCCGTCCGACTCTGACAACATTGATTGAAAATTAATACTGAAAGCTCATTCAAATAGAGTAGTTGTATTGATGAAGGGGTACTGCCTGGTGGCGGCCCCATTGCCAAAGCCTGCAACTCAATGGGCCAGGCCAGACCAGGCTGCAGCAGCCCTCAGGGGTTTTTGTTTTTCTCTTTTAATAAATGATTTTGTAATTTAAAACGCAGGAGCCAGGTTTTATTTTTAATTTCTATACGGCGAGCAGAGAGCTGTAAGAAGTAAAAAAACTTCTTTTTGCGTGTTTGTTTCTTATTTATAATATGGTATAATTAATTAATTAATTAATGACATGGCCAAGGCGCCGAGCTAGGTGGTATCTGATCCCTCTAAAGGCTAAGCTGTGGCCGGCATGGCATCTTTTCCTTTAAAAAGCAAAACATTTGTGGCTGAAAGAAAAAAGTGAAAGACAAAAAATTAATCTTCTTTTATCTTTGCCACGTGGCATGGTACTGTTCAAGGTGGCAAACGCCTGGACCGTCCACAGTTAAATGCCCCTTCGGCCCTTGTAATTACTTGTGCACCAAGTACAGCAAAAAACGTATTTATTCAGAAAAACGGAGGTGCCAACGGGCAGGGCCAAGTGGTTGAGAAAAAGCTGTGACCGTGTCAAGACTCAGGTCTCAGAGCTTGTGGACTCAATTGGAAGGTGACAATTCGGGGCAAAGAGCCAAACAGTATCTCCAGCCCAGTATTCTACTATTTTCTGAGGCGGGCAGCTGCACTGACCTGACCCCCGCCCTCTTACAATAATGCCTTCCACATTTATTCCCTCAGACTCGCTCAGACCAGTACTCCCTCACTCCACAGTCCACACACCCCAACACTAGTAGTCCATTCCCTCATTCAGTTAGCACTTCCAAGTTCCAAGCAGTCCAGAGTAACCCCAGGCTTCAACGTAATTACCAAAATAGCACCACAGGGGTATTCTGGTAATTGTGTATAAAGTGCTTGATTTGTTTATTTTAGTCGGGAATTTTGCTTTGAAAAGCGGTCATTTGGAAGATGGTTTTTGGAAGCTATTGCAGTTATTCCAAATTCCTAATCATTTCTTTATTTGCTATCATTATTTTAATCCCATACCTATCTTTGTTTTACATATATAAACTTATAAAGCTTTAATTAATTATTACCTTTCTCAAGAGTCAAGAGTCTAGAGTCAAGATGATGGCAATTATCGGAATCGGACTGTTTCTGTCGGGTGTATCCAGACGAACTATTACCCACAGCCACAAGTCATCAGTCGGACCCCCTCCCTAGGGCTTCAAATGGGCCCACCAGCTTTCGGCATTTTACCCTTTCTACAGTGCGTCTGGGTTGGGACAAGTCACAAGTCGGGACTCGATCACTGATCAATTAGGGTGGGGTGGATCTGGGTCAGTCCCACGGTGACACCATTGACCCATATCCGATCCATTTGTGTTCTTTGAGGGAATCCAAGGTGGTGTAGTGTTCGAAAGTTCAGCAGACGTACGCCACGTGGATGCATGTGAGAGAGAAAGATTCTTATCTTGTGGGAGTGATGGGTTTTACGTAAGAACGGGGATTCGGGTGGGGGGGGAGGATGTCGTTGGGGAATATTGGTGGGACTTTGCGAGCCGGAGCCGAAAGTGAGTCGCACGTGCGACGTCAGCTTGTTTGACAAATGAATTGTCCTGTCTTGTTTCTACTTTCTAGTACTTCTCCCTCCTTCGAATTACCAAATTGACCCTGTCTAGTGTCTCCCAACTCCCAAGGTCCCACCATGACCCAACTTCCTGTTTTCAAGTTCGAAGTCGAAGTACGGCCACACCAAATATCTATGGACGCTAATACCCCTCATCGTTACCCTCAGCCACTCTTCAGAATCAGTACAGTGCGTCTATTTCCATGATCAAAGGAAAAAAATGATCATGAGATCATCAATGGACGGTTGTCAGTTGGCTTGTAAGGTGGGGCCGAGTGTGTGTGGGTGTGGGTCCTCTCGAGAGGAAGCAGCTTTTCCAACTCTACAGGCTGTACAATTACAAAGACAGGCTTGGGGCAGGCTGAAGCTTGATCTTAATGAGTGTCAGGAGTGAAATTATGAAGTCATTGAGGGCTAAATGATAATTGATAGATTACCACCGAAACATAGGTTGGTGGAAAGGAACCCCAGCTTTACAATTTACCGTACTATAATGAGTAGAAAATGCCTGGTGAGTGAGAGTAGTAGTACTGGCTACTGAGTACTGAGGATGGCTCGTCGTAGTTTAATTAAAAACTAGGGGCTTTTTGGTAATGTTCTGTCCGATTCAAAAAAAGTTTTATGGTTGATCAATCAAGGGAGGGGTGCAGGGGGCTTCACCGAGGGGCTTCTCTTCCTTTGCATATTTTTCCTTCCTTTTCTTCACTTTCCTAGTTTCCTTCCTCCTCTTTTACTTTCTTCTTAGTTATTCTTCTTCTTCTTCTTGTCCTGTGATTCAACTGAAGCGCTGAGGCTTCATCAATGGCGGACATAAGTCATCCTCCCATGGAGCAACTGCAAGACCTTGAATACTGTATAGATTCCAACCCTCCATGGGGTAAGCTCTCTTACTTCCTCTCTGTGCCCTGCCCCCTGCATTTCTGTCTCATCTTGGTGGTACTATTTTTGACGTTTATTTTAGCGTTCTGAAATAGTAAATAAGTGAAAATGGATTTTTGTGCTTTGAAGTTGCTGCATTGTAACACCATTTGCAAGGCATCTTACTGTGGAAACAACGAATATTTCCTTATTGTCATCACTTTCAGTGTTTTTCCAAACAAGGAGACGCTAATAGAGTGTCCCATCAAAAGAAAATTGTGTATTTATCCACCTAAACAACAGACTGAAACAGTTTAGCTCACAAAATGAGCACTTAAATCATTTCTGAAACTTCAGCCGATGTCCTTGTACCCTTGCCCATTTGTTACCGGTTAAGGTGTAGGGAGTTGCTTCGGGAAACTCCCTGAGCACGAGAAGAGAAATCCGGATCCATGAGTATAAGAGTTTGGCAGAAGTTTTAATGTCAAATGCCGACCTGACATAACCCTTCTCCTTTATCCGGGCTTGGGACCGGCGAGCTCATACTGTCGGAGTTCAATACCTGGAAGCAATCATTTTCGATAATACAGTTTGGTTACCTACAAGGAAAAAGAGATTGAATGGGGGTGTTGGTCATAGAATTATAATGGTCGGATGAAATGGAAATGTGTTTTTGGAATTATCTGTGACTGAACCGCCAACCAAACTTATTAGATGGGAAAGGTCTACAAGTCTACCGTACGACCAGTCTTGCTCATGGGAGAGAATATAATGTAATAAAAAAATGTGCTTACAATGAACATGGTCAAGATGAGTGGCATGACTAAGAAGGTGGCATTGTGGCAAGAGGTAGCTTTGATAGATGATACGATGTGGGAAAATAACAGTGATGGTCTGATTAACTTTGGAACACAATGGTTGTATTAGAGGAGCCATAGGGTTCAAACTGAAGGTTATAGTGGAACCCTAACCTAGACCACAACCAATTCAATTACTCATGGAACACAATCCAATTGCTTGTTGGCAGACCGACTTGAGACAATAGTTTGGATGGCCTAAATACTTTCCCTCTGATTAAGAGGGATTGGCGAGGAAAATAGGATGCAAGGATGAATCTAATTCCCAAAACCCTTTGGCAAGTAAATAGGATGCCTTTGAGAGACAAAGTGTTGATTATCATTACTCATCATACCCACATCCTAGCATCCTACCTATTACCATTCCCTCCTTTGAACCTAGTCCTCTTTGTCTACTAAAGAAATACTCTTATCAATACAACTGATCAGTCAACATAGGTTAATGTGGTCATTCATTCAATTTCTCAATCAATCCATTCAGAACCTAACCCATACATACATAAATGCATGCATACAAAAACATAATTTTATATTTCTTTCCCTTCTTTCTTTGTAATTTTCCAATTATTACCAGAAAATAAAAGTATCTTTGGCATAAAAAAATTAAGCAATACCCAGTTTGGATGGTTCTGATTCTTTTGTTTTCTAAATAAACACTAAGAAAAACTACAATTTCTACTGTATTTACAATATAAATTTAAGAAAGAAAAAGTGACTAAATTGATTTCTGACGGAGGGGATGCATAAAAAAGCTTATTTGCTTGTGGACCAAAAAACTTAAATTCATGTGATGACATTTTTTTGGAAAAACCATTGCCAAATTAGGGCACAACTGATGAATATCTACTTTTTGTTAATATTTGATAACTTAGTTATCCTAGTTGGGTTCTAATTTTTATAATTATATATATATATATATATATGTATGTATGTATGTTTTGTTAATCTCTGGAAAAAATATTTCAATCTCTTTTTATTTTTATTTTTTGTTTTTCTACTATAGCAGAACAGAAGTTAGAAAATTTCAATATGTTCATTTCGGGGCAAAGATTTTTTTTTGGTAGGGACAGGGAAAAATTAAAACCTAGTTACTTTTTATATTTGAAGGAGTTAAATGGAGCAAAAGCAGATACTGCCCTAAGCAACCTATAATTTTTCTTAGGGGGAACCAGTTTTTGCTGGTTCCTGTGGCCCAGTTGGAGGAGCAACAACAGCTGTGAAAGCTGAGATAGTGCCACTCGTGTAAAGTTTGATAATTGTTTTTTCTTCAGGACTAGAAATAGTAGATATTAAAGGATGACATATCCATATGGGTTCTGTCACTATGTTAGGGGAGTTTGAAGGCAAGGATGAAAAACTAGTTCAAATGGGTACCAAGATCAGCCAATTCCCACTCCCTGCTTCCCTGGATTATAGTCTAACAAGGGGATAGGGAGAAATCAATGCATCAGGGAATGGGATTACAGGGTTAGTTTTCTTTTGGAAAAATTATAGGTATATGATCATTTAGATGTCTGTCTTTTCTCTTTTGGTCCTTCACACATGATGTGGGAGGTTGTACTTTTCTTCTGTCCTATTTTCACAACCAATGCATACTTTTCTCAACTTGTTAAATGATAAATGACTCTCTATGAATAGGGGCAAATCTTATGTAATAACTGTCGACTAAAAGTATTTTCTGTCAAGACTGATAAAAGAAGAATTTTCTCCTAAAGTGTATGCTCTTTCTCTGTGGTGTGACTCCATGCTTAACCTAAATGCTATAGGCCTATAACCTTAATGAGGCCTTGTTCTAGGAGGGGAGAATCCATAGGTGATACACCTCCAATCATTTTCCTTAATTACTCATTAACTCTATATCTTCTAGGTGTTGAGTTCTAGTTCTTTTGTTTTCTGAATTCTAAACTCTGAACTATCTGATATTTTCACTAGTTTTATATTAGCCAATTGAGACCCCTGAAATCCCATTCCCTAATTCTTCATTACATGGTCTACATCTCTCGTGAATTGGTTATTTTAACACTAGAAGTCCAGCATTTCAAATGTGATAAGATATTTTTGTATCCCCTTGGTTTTCCTACATCAGCTTGCCTCTACTCCAACTATAATGCATTTGTTGGTACTAGATGCTTTTATTATTCTTAATGCTTCACTTCCTTATTTGTGTGGTCAGGATTTTTATATGTGAATTGTAAACTAAGTTATTTGTTCACCTTTTTTTTTGTTTGTTGATTAAAGCTTTCTCTTGCAGCTGAAACTATACTATTGGCTTTTCAAAACTACATCCTCACACTGGGAACTAGTGTTATGATCCCCTCATTGCTTGTCCCAGTAATGGGTGGAACTGATGTAAGCTGGACTTTAGCATATTAATTTTTATGTATGTATTTATTTATTTACCTTTTGATTGACCACTTAGTAAATATAGTTGGAAGAAAGACTAATGGGGAAAGGATAGTATGAACTTCATTCCCCTGACAAAGATGTGATTGGAGAAGGTTTTGGTGTCTATTAGACAAGCATAACATGCCAAAGCCATGTTTGGGATTGCTTATAATAAGTGCTTATTATAAGCCAAAAGCACTTGTGCACCCAAGAAAGCCCAATTTTGTGTTTGGTAAAAAAGCCTCGAACAAGCGCTTTTTTACCCAAAAAAGCCTGTTTAGAAAAAGCCAAAAAATTTGGCTTACTGCTTATTATGTTTTAGGTAAGCCCTTTTTAAAAAAGAAGTCCATATTACAGCACCAAAAGGCCTTTTTTTTTTTTAAAAAAAAAAAGAAGCGCATTTACATTTTGGAAAATCCCTTTTTAGAATGTCATGCTAAACACTCAAATGTTCCTATTTAAATAAGAATGTATTCAAAATGTTACCGACATTCAAGCAGGGATGTCTCCACTCATCCCTGCTTGGAGTTTCCCTTCATCTTTATTTTCTCCCCACCCTTCTTTTCTGAGTGGAAAAGCTGGTAGCACATGGTTTGGATCATGTGACAAGGTCAACATTTTTTGTAAAAGATCTTTGGTGCATTCACTAATTTTGGTTCTACTGTTCTATATGCAATTGAGAGAGGACAATTATATGGATTTCCTGGCTTAAGTGTTCTTTTTTTTTTCTTTTATCTTTTGTTTTATTTTGCATAGTAATGCATTTTATTACTTACACAAACAGGGTGACAAAATTCGGGTGATACAAACTCTGTTATTTGTATCTGGTATCAAGACACTTCTGCAAGCACTCTTTGGAACCAGATTACCAGCAGTAGTGGGTGGCTCTTTTGCTTATGTCATACCCATCCTTTATATTATAGGTGACTCATCACTGCAACGAATTTCTGAACCTCATGAAGTAAGTTTACTCCTTTCTTTCTTTCTATTAATGCAATTACAAATACAGGTACAAATATAAATGGAAACAAGGGAGAGTGTCAGCTGGGTTTTTGAATGAAGAAACCTACATGACAAGAATTTTTGCAAATGGCAAGACTGTCGTGGCTTTGAACTGACCCACATGTTCCCCTTTTCTTTCTCTATTACTAGTGTAATATTTAGCTATAAAAACCCTTATCGGTTGTTCAGAATAAGCATTTCCTTTGGGCAACTAGGTGGGATATAGGGTTGACATGGAGGGGGATCAAACATATGGGTGATCCTTAGGGTCCTCTATCTGATGTCATACTTCCATGTGGCAAAATTATCTTAAGGTCATGTGGAGAAGAACCTGTGAGAGTGCTTTTTCAACCCATAGGATAACCAGTACAGAAAAGCCAAAAGGTGATACTTGTCAAGTATATTCCTCTTTCTGGTTCTGTATCTTTTTTTTTTTTTTTTGCGCTTATAAAGACTAGCAAGGTACTGATAAAAAGAAGTAAAGATTGGCTAGGTGCTGAGTGTTACATGCATGTGTCTCTGACTTGCAGAGATTTATACAAACTATGCGAGCAATCCAAGGAGCATTGATTGTAGCATCAAGCATACAGATCATCCTGGGTTACAGCCAAATTTGGGGACTTTTCTCAAGGTACATTTTGGCAGACCATTGTTTCCTGATATTATACTACTACATACTCTGAATGGTAGTTTTCCTAGTTCTTTCTGTTTTTCTTTGCAGGTTTTTCAGTCCCCTTGGTATGGCACCTGTAGTTGGATTGGTTGGTTTGGGGTTATTTGAGCGAGGCTTTCCTTCGGTAGGTCTTGCAACTAGAGGGAATCTGTTGTGCTTATCATGTATGGCAAAATGGACTAGAAATGGTGTAAAAGTTTTAGTGGTTCACATGCAAGGGGGTAGGACCTACCAGAATGGATGAGCCTGGAAGATATCCTATGACCAGATTTGATCTGATAGAATGTTCTACATTCCTTGGCCTCTAATCTTTCACCTTCATTGTGGACAGTTGACATTATCTTCTCTGGGCATTCACAGGATTTCAATATATCTTTGTTAGAACACAAGGACATCCAAGCTGGTTGATAATTAAGCCCTGGGAACCCATTGAATGGGTGGGTTCCACCCTCCTGCATGACCTACATGCACCTATATTTTATTACAATGCTTTGATCTTGCTCTTCCAATGAATACAATATTTTTCTCTTTCTATTCCTTTTTTCTCCTCAATATCTTCATGTAATTTTTCCTGTGGCTGCAAGGATAAAACTTAATCTTAATTTTTGGTCTTTAGTTGGGAAACTGCGTCGAAATTGGGATTCCAATGCTCCTGGCTGTCATTGGATTGACACAAGTAGGTGGTTTAAGATTGAACGGGGAAAGTTGTTCCTATTTTTATTTTTATTTTTATTTATTTTCTTGTTCTTTTGTTAACAGACAATTTTGTGAATTTGCAGTATCTGAAGCACATAAGGCCCATCAGGGATGTTCCCATCTTTGAACGATTTCCTGTTCTCATCTGTGTCTCAATTATATGGGCATATGCACATGTCTTGACTGCAGGTGGGGCCTATAGAAACAGACCCCTCAAAACTCAACATAATTGTCGTACTGATAGGGCTAATCTCATATACTCTGCTCCCTGGTAAGAGAAAGGAAGGACCTTGTTTCTCCTGCTTAATGTGTAGTTGTGTAGTCACTACCGCAATTCTATTTGGGGTGTGTTTTTCAGGTTCAAGTTCCCATATCCTTTGCAGTGGGGTCCACCAACTTTTGCTGCAGGACATACATTTGCTATGATGTCTGCCGTCCTAGTCTCTATGGTAGAGGTATTTTATTGGGATCAATTCTTTCAGTCTTCACAACTTCCGGAAAACTTAGTTCATGCTGTTAAATGTAAATGTTCCCCACCATGTCCTGCACTCTTGGCATGGGCTGTTAAATTAGTGGGCCATCTTTTTAAGGTTCCATATACCAATAATTACATCAGTTGCTATTTTAACAAACCACATAATTGCAAAATCCAGTAAAAATGTTGTGCAGCATAAAAGATATGATTGTTTGAGATTCTGAAAGGAATATGTCAAATCCATTTTGCAAATAAGAAATACAGATTGTGCAGTAGGATTAGCTTTTGTGGAACTGGCCTCTAAGGTGTTCCCTGCAAAGTTTTTGGTGCACTGGTGAAGGGTGTGTGCGTTCTGTGTGTATGATATCAGACAAAGCTCTCTAACTGCTTGTTTGACATAATTCATGTTTTACTTTATGTACTTACAAAAAAGTGTTCATTATCCATGTTTTCACTACTGTAGTCAACTGGTGCATACAAAGCAGCATCTCGGCTGGCAATTGCCACTCCACCTCCTGCCTATGTGCTGAGCCGAGGCATTGGTTGGCAGGTAAGTTGAGTCAACACATCTAATCTTTAGTATTTCAGTCATGAGATGCACTTGTAATTGGAATATACTTCATTTCAACATCTTGGATAAGATTATTTTTGTTGCAGTAAAAGACATAACTATAAAATATTTGAATTTTAAGTGCTATAGTTGATATTTAGTTTTTGAAGACAAATATTTGTCACATGACTTGTAAGGTTCATGGAGACATTTATCTGCGGACAAAATGTATTAATATCAACAACAAGTAATAATTAAAAGATAATATTCTTCTTAATTTTTGTCCTTGTAATGCTTCTATTGTCCAGCATGGTTGGACCATAGACAATGAAGTCCTGTCGTTAGGGAGTACTTCCATTGGTCTATCTGATCAAAATTGACCATTATGAAAAGTCCCCTAGATTACATTACATGACAGCTTCAATTATTAGATTTTACACTGAACTCTTTCTCTCATTCGTTGCTCTGTTGTCACAAGTGCACGTAAATGCTGCCCAAGTTTTCAAGAAAGTACATGGAGATCCACTACCTGCTAGTTATGTGAATCCTAAAATAGGGGCCTGTCTAATTATGCAAATTAGAACTCCAACTCTGCATAATAAAGCAAAAGAAAAGTAACTTCCTAACTACTAAACCAATAATTGTTACAATTAAAACAGTCCAATTAAACACTTAACATACATTTCCTAACCCCACAGACAAATCTCACAAATTTAAAGCTTAGCAAAATACAACCGCTCAGCAGGCATAAAGTGAATGTTACTAAAAAATCATTCATAAAAAATGTTACTGAAGTATCCCTGTGCGATAAATTAAAGATTAAAGACAAAATAAAAAAGAACATAATCAACTACCAAGTACCAACTGGCTTCAAGCACTTCCGAATAATATGTTTAGGGCCTTTTTGTGATCGCATCACTTAACAGACCAAATAATCAGTTTTTGGATTCTGAATTGTGTCCCACATCATGACATCAAGCTTGGTGCAGCAGTGGTAGAAAATGCCCTTTTGGATTCTGAATTTTATGTATGGATGTGATTATGCATCACATATGCAGGGTATTGGTGTATTGCTTGATGGCCTTTTTGGAACAGGGACTGGCTCCACTGTATCAGTGTAAGAAAATGCCCTTTCAATTGGCTAGACCCAAGGGTTAGTGATTGTCCCTTCTTTGCGTTATTGTCTATAAAACTATAATTGATTTGGTAGTAAATCTCAGGGAGAATGTGGGGCTCCTTGGACTAACCCGAGTTGGGAGCAGAAGAGTTGTTCAAATTTCAGCTGGCTTCATGATATTCTTCTCTATCTTAGGTGGGCTGGGCACAATAAACTGTTTCTTTTTCCTTAAAATTTTCTTTTGGGCAGGGTGTGCTGCGGAAAGACCATTTTTTTCCTGTTTTTTTTCAGAAGCCAGAAGGCCCAGAAGGCCAGAGCACAACAGAATGGGTTTGCATGACAATTTGTGATAATTAATTGCTTCTATTTTATGATTGCAGGAAAATTTGGAGCTCTCTTTGCATCTATACCCTTCCCAATATTTGCTGCACTTTACTGCGTGCTCTTTGGCCTTGTTGGTATGCCACTAGCTTTGGCAAGTTGGATCCTGCTTGCTTCCTGTTGAATTCGGATTAGCTGAACACGATGGCTGTTCTGCAGGCTGTGGAACCAATGATGAGGTTCCACACCAGTAATGAATTCATGGGCCCCATTGTAAAAGGTGCGGGCCCCATGTATTTAAATACTGGCGTGGAACCTTATCATTGGTTCCACAGCCTGCTGAACAGCCCCATGTATATTTTTTTTTCCTTTAACATTTTCTGATTTGGACTCTTGTCTATTTTTGCAGCTTCAGTGGGGCTATCATTCCTACAGTTCACCAATATGAATTCTATGAGAAACCTCTTCATCACTGGTCTTTCGCTTTTCCTTGGGATATCCGTCCCACAGTATTTCAATGACTTCTGGTTTTCTTCTCATCATGGACCTGTTCACACCCATGCAGGATGGGTTAGTGAAGTTTCTGCAAACCTCATTTTGGGTTATAAACATTACATGTGGCTATCATAAGAACATCTAGAAACCAAAGCAGAGGGTAAACATGTATAGTTTACTGGATTTTTCTCCCTGTTGTAGATGGTTGTATTCTTTCAACTGTGACAACATGGGTTGTTGACAAATTCTTCAATCCAGTAGATTTACCAACTGGATTCCTAGCCACATAAAAACCTTGAGTGTATGCCACATGTACTTCTGGTGTTTTGGATTCTTTGTGGATCAAGCACAGTTAGTTTTTTCCTTGTTTTTCTCATGATATATGTTATTGATGTAAGACTGTACAATGATGGCTTTGCAGTTCAATGCATTCTTGAACACCATATTCTCATCAGCACCAACTGTGGGGTTGATTGTTGCGGTGATTCTCGACAATACATTGGACGTGGAGAAGTCAAAGAAGGACCGAGGAATGCCATGGTGGGTCAAGTTCAGAACGTTTAGAGGTGATAACAGGAATGAAGAGTTCTACACATTGCCCTTCAATCTCAACAGGTTCTTTCCACCTACTTAACAAGCTCAAACCCCAGAAGCGGCAGCAAGAAATCAAGCTGAAGCGTCTTCTCCTTAGAACTGAGAAACGCCGGATATATTATTCGAATTAAAACATCTTAGCTTATAGCTAATATCCTTTCCCTGAGCATCATCATAATGTATTTTTTGTGGGAATAGGAGTTTTGGGCATTTAATCTACATGCTTTTGTGGCGCATCCCATGTAATAAGAGGGAAAGACATTACCATTTTTTTTGTTTCCTGCATCCGTTGTTCTGTTGCCTTTTTCGAATGATATTTGATCTGATGCAGTGAAATTTGCCCCATTTCTATTCTTTTGTCTTCTGTTTCTTCTGTGTTCCCAACTTCCAATTCATCCCGTTAACTTGTATCAAACGGAGATGAAAACTTTAATTGAGAATTTCAGATTTTACAAATACGAATTTATGAGATTACCAGTGGCTTTTACCACAAATTTAAATCCAAATTACATTACTAGCAAATTGTGGTCCAAGCCTCGCATCAATCGGATATTAAAATCACGCCTTTGGCGAAAATATTAGATTTTATAATGAAATCATTCATTCATGATTCAAGAAGGGTGTGATTCCTTTTCTTCTTGGCATGTTGTTGTCAAGATTCAATGTGTGAGATTCCTCTTCTTTCTTCTTTACCCTTTTTTGTCAGTTCATTCTAGTAGAAATCACATTGACAAATGGCATACACAAGTTATTGAAATTTTAACCACATTTTAATCGAAGAATTCTCAGTCCAGAAATCAAGTTTCAAAGAAGCCTCAGACAGACAGCCAGTCTTTTCTATTTTAACATCAACTGGATATTCAGCCGGTAATTCCAACTTTGAATGATATCCTCACAGGCTTCGATTTCGATTTACAGTATTTAAAGAAGTATGTCAAGCAGAAGAGAAAAGTACCGAGTATAAAACCGAAAATGTAATCGCAGAAACCGGCTCTGTGGATGAATGGTTAAAATCAGATCCACAGGTTCCTATCAATATGCGAAACAACAATGAATGCTTTAATTTAGGTCCGATCGTAGCATCGCCAGTCATTGCACAACTTCGCTACCGGCGACGTGGCATCGGACCAAGAAGAGGATGGATAAGATAAAAAAGAGACCCTCAGAGACCCATTTCAAATCACGCACACAGCGGGAGCCCTTCATCCCAAAACAAAAAACAAAACGAAACCCTAAGAAAGCAAATCAAATAAATTGAAAGCAATCAGAGGAGAGTCGTTAGTTCTGTGAGATAAAGAGACTGCACCGCTGCTGTTTGGAGTGTCATACGGCACTTCCTATCAAGGGCATGCTTCCTCATCGGGAACCCTAAAACATTTTTGGCTTTTCCCCCCACAGAATGAAAAACCGAAAGAAAGGATGAACAATCAAACGAAAGCAAAAACTTAAGAATTTTGTTTCAAAAATTTCTTCCTCCTAATCTTCTAACGAAATCCCACTGCAAACAAACTCTCCTTCCAGGCATACACTCGTCTGAGATTACCTACAGAGTTGGCCTGACGAAAGGTGAAGCGATGCTCATTATATAGAGTACACACAGTCACACACCCTCAACAGCAACCCTAACCCTAGCCCTAATTCCGGTGTTTACGAGAGTTGCGACTGGTGAGGGGTGAATGCACGATCAGATCACGCTAAGAGGCATGTAGTCCAAAATATCAGCCGTTGGATGCTGATCCCTGTTGCAAATTCCTTTTCCTCATTCTTATCCGATGCATGACCCACGGGACACGAGTTCACATCTGCGCCCCACAATGTCCTACAGCGCATCCCCGCCGTGTATTAAGAGCACCTCCCGATGATAGTATCAGACTCAATAATATCATCATCGAGATGTTCCTAATACAAGGCGGGGATGCGCTGTGGAACGTTATGGGGCGCAGATCTGAACTCCCATTTACACAAAGCCACGATCCACGATAAGTGCCGGTTTGGGAGGAGACGGGATGGGCTCCCCACACAGCGTGCCCCACGGCGCATCCCCGTGAATTGGGAACATCTCCCCATCCCCACGTGACAAGAACTGGATATGTTATGCAAGGGGGAGATGCAATGTGGGGCGCGCTATATTCATCGGTTTTTTGGTATTTTGATATTTATAATATATGTTCAAAATAAATATAAATATATAATAAAAAACTAAAAATGCATACAATATATTATATATTATAAGTATATAATACATACATAAATATATATAATATCTATAAATATTCATATCTCAGTCAGTTCGGTTAACTGGTAGGTTTCTTATATTGGTAATTGAAATCTAACCGGTACTTTCGGTTTTTCAAAAATATTGAACCAATCAATTTTGTTAACTGAAATTTTTGGTTTGGTTTTGTGTAGGTTTGGTTCAGTTTTTTGGTTTTAGATGATCATTCCTACCTTGAATCCTTTTTGGAAGGTAAGTCAAGACTTTTCACTCAATTAAAAGTTTAGATAAATTATAAAGGGATATTATCTAAAAACCTATTTTTCTAAAATTTACCATGACTTTTTTAAAACCTCTAAGGAGCCTCCTCTCATTGAGTTTTATTGTCCAAAACTCACATTCCATTAGATTTCCGTTAAATCATCATTAGTGATCATTAATAAAAGTTGTCCATGTAAACATTTAAGCAATTTACATGACCAAACTACCCCTAAATGGCCAATCATCCTTATTAAATGTTTTTTATGACAAAATTACACATAACCTGAACTTGATCCCACACTAGGCCCATCCTGCATATATTTAAAATATATTTTTAATAAATTTGATTGACCATTAGCAATAGCTTGGTCATACAAAATACTTAAATGCTTATGTGGATGACTTCTATTAATAAATCACTAACAGTGATTTAACAGAAATCTAATGGAAAGTGAGTTTTTAGACAATAAAACTCTTTGGCATGGGCTCTCTAGATGTTTTCAAAAATCATAATGAGTTGAAGAGAAATGTCAAAACGTCACGGTGAGTTTTAGGGGGTATTTTGTAGTGTGGATAAGAAATTGGTGGGAGTGAACCGGTCCACACCACACCCAATGGTAGGGATTAATCCACAACACACCACAGTCTAACAATTGTTCTAAACTTGTAATAGATTGTGTGAACGAGACCAATCCACACCCATAATGGCATTTTGTTGGTGTGGTGTGGACCACACTTTTTGATTCCATGTATCTCATATATATTTTATGAATGACCTACACATCGATCATAAAATGTCTAATTTTTGCATTTTATATGACAAATAAATTGAAAAAGGCATCGATAAATTAATATTAATCAAGAAAAGTATGTAAAAGAGATGTATTGTATCAAAATAGTGTAGGAATGTTATGGAAAGTTATCCACGAGATATATGTGTGGCCGAGATTTTGGGTTGTGGACAGGAACATCCACGATAATCGTGGACCATTCCCATCCACAACCAACTGAACATTGTAGCCATTTTATCGTGGACCGTATCATAGACCATCTCCATCCATAGCCAACCGAATACCATGGCCATCCCGTGGCATGGACCAAAACGAGCCATCCACAAGATGACCACAAAACTGAACACCACCTTAGATAATATCTCGATTATAAATCACCACCTGTAGGCTGTAATCGGGGGGTGGGGGCGGGGACATGTTCTCAAACTTTGTTTTGAAGCAAAGATCACCCCCACCTAAACTTTTTAGAGAGTTGAAATCAACCCCCCACAAAATAATTTCCCACAACGTCCCACAGCTTATTCCCACCGTGTAATGGGAACATCTCCCGATGATGCCTCATCGTTTTTGGTATTATGATATGGAGATGTTCCCAATACACGGTGGTAATGTGCTATGGGATATTGTGGGGGGCTGATTTGAACTCCTTTTTAGATTTCAACACTTTGCCCCCTTATTCCATTTGTGGGGTTGACAATCAAGGTAAAAATACAAAAATACCCATATGAGATTTGGATTTAGAAAAAGAAAAGTCTATCAAAATGGAGAAGTGGACGAATGACAAAGTAGGAAGGTTTGGAAACAGAATCTCGATCCAAAAATAGATATGGATTGGATAGTCCCTTGAATTATGGGGTTTGTGTTGGGAGGAAAACGACTATATTACCTGCCATTGGTTTGGCATGTGGCACGAATTTGTTCACCTCTGGTTTTCTGTTTTCATTACTACAAGTCTGTTCTTGATTTTCAATTTTGTAGGTGTGTGCAAGCTGCAAGTCATTCTAAATCTGTAAAAGTTATATATAATAAGGTTATGTTTGTTTTGAAGGAAAATGTAGGGAAAGGTAAAGAAACCTTTACAGACCTTATATTGGCTTTAGGGGTAAGTAAAAAAACCAAAAAACCGAACCGACTGAAAAAAAAAACGACCGAAACCGAAAGAAAAATCGGTTAATCAAACCGATCGGTTCAGTTTCGGTTAACCATTTAAAAAACTAGCGGTTAACCGACCCGATTGATATATATATATATATATATATATACAGTAATATATATTTATATAATATTATATATCTATATATATCTTATATTATATATTATATTTTATTTTTTTTGAAAATCTAATAAAAAAGTTTGGCAGTCTGAGAATGTTCAGGCTGCCGAACTGAGATTTTCAGGTTTTAGTTCGCCAGTGAACAGACTATCTGACACCTGCCATGCAGGAACTTTTTCCTTTCTTTCCCTCTCTTTCTCTCTCTCTCTCTCTCTCTCTAGTCGATTCGATACAGAAAATGACCCCACGGTTCGGTTAACCAAACCGTGAGCACCCCTAATTGCCTAATTGGTTTTCCTTTCTTTCCCTGCCTTTTTCTTCAAACCAAACATAACCTAAGGGAAAATCTCACATAGACATATTTGTTTAGAGAAAAAACTCTTTTGAAGAAGATAATGATAAAAAGAGAAAAAAAAAAGTTTCAAGGGTGCTTTGGGAATTTTGAAAAACCCTAAAAGGTTACATGATTCACGCATGATCATTTTCATCCATTTTCCTTGTGAAAGGCTAACGAAGGAGGTTATTTGATACACGAGTGAAAGTTTGGATGGGGGTATTTGAAACTTTTTCATAGTTCAAATAGTAAAGTGACCTGACAGGATGAGAAAAACCTTAAAAATATTATTTATTTTTCATTTCAAATTTAATTTCTTTAACAAAATTACAAAAGAACTCTACTTGCCCATGTCTCTTCTCTCCCCCAGTCGCTCCATCGGCTCCAAGTAGGGGTGTCAATTGGACTGGATTTGGTCGAATCCGATCCAGTCCAATGTGAGTCTATTATATATGGACCAGGTCCAATTTAATTCAATGAATA